GGAGAAAGTTAAGCAGGTAGCAAGGGGGCTGGAGGTTATGAACTCTACTTGCAAGGACCCTGTAGCTCTCTCCTTTATAAGTGACAGGTCAAGGTCTGGAAAGGTTAAGAGACTTGCAACAAAGCTAACAAAGCTGCCCAGCTGGTGCGTAAGAGTGGGATGAGGATGGGGTCCCACGGGCTGCAATTCCCTTCCTCCCACCGAGACTGCCAAACACAGGGAGGGCTCTAATCCTGGGCCCCCCAGAGTGGCTCCAGGTTTATCCACTTGAAAACAGCAAGATAAATTTGAAAATAATTGTTGGTCAAAGCCTGAAGAAACGTTTTTACCTTGGTTCTAAATTCTTGCTGTCTTATGTACCAGGTAACTACCAAAAACCACACAGCTTAGCTACTGGGTAAAACCAACACAACACAGAGAAGGGAACTGAGGGGAGTGCACGGCTACTTTCTAAACTGACCAAAGTCCTCAAAGCCCAGCTGTTCCCAAAGGCCAGAATTTAGAGACATGAACCAAGTCCTTCTGGAGAAGGCTGGGTTAATTCTTTCCTAGGAGCAGAAGGTCACTAACTTAGCCACACTGTCTAAGAAGACAGCTGGTTGGCAGGAAATATTTCATCCACAGAACTACTCTTTACAGATAATCCCCAAAGATGCCCACCCCAGAGTAATCCAGGACGATGACCATAGTCACGGAACTGAGATTCTGCCTAACACCCGATCCCCTGGTTTGAGGGCAGGGAATTTATTCTGTTTCCCAGAAAACTCAAATCTTCAGTGAAGCAAAACTTCTAAGATCTGAAAAACCAAACAGCCCTCCTATAGCCCTCTCGTAATTTTGCTCCAAAGAGGGGGATCTACATGAATGTGTTTTCAGGGTACACACAGACTTTTCTGCCACCTGCATCTCTGCCCGAGAGCCCTGGAGACTTCGTACCTGAGCACAAAGCAGGGGTGTATCATCAGCCTCTTGGGCTGCCACCCTCCTCGTGGCGAGGTTCAGCCTCGTCTGAACCCTCTATTTGAGTTAAAGTGAGTAGCAGGCCTAGGAAGAAGATAGCTGCCTTCTTTAACACGACGTTTCATATTGTACGTGTTAAGCCATTAAAGGAAACAGAGCGTACCATGGTCTTTGATTGGTTACAGATGGGAGAAAATCAGCCACGGTAATAAATGCATGGAGACGGGAGTGGGTTGCTGCACACGGAGCCGGGATGTGTGATCCAGGAGGTGCGTGAGGGGGAGTTAACACCATATGTCACTTTACTGCTGTGGGCCTGCACTCATGTTAATAGCAACACATTCCTCCCCAACAGCTCCGACACCATCCCTGACACCACGAGGTGTCTGCCAAACCCAGAGGACTCTTACCAGGTACTGAAGCCGCTGGCGCTCAGTCTCGGGGGTGAATTCCGAAGACATGGGGATGATTTCTCCGTTTCTGATGATTATAGCCCTGCAATGGTGAAAATGCATGTCAGCGGCCAATGTCGTAAGCACCTGGATTCCGCGATAACGCCACAGCGAGGTCAGAATACACATGCATGCTCAGGGGATAGTCTTCCTTCCAATCTTCAAGGCACCAGTTCACTGTCACCAACTCTGGATCCCTCACCACACTGTAGGTATCTTTAAGAGTATGACATTCTCATTAGCTGACATTTACTTTTCCTGCTAGCTTAACGCCCAGCATCAAGCATGCTACTTGGCACGTAATAGATGCTCAGTGAATAAATGGCTGGGTCAATGATTCATGCACAGAGGCTCACTCTACACTAGTGCTCTCCCATCGAACTTTCTGTGATCATTAAAACTTGTGCTTCAATCTGTGCAGTCCAGTATGGCAGCCACCAGCCACATCTGGGTCTGGGCATTTGAATTCTGGTTAGCGCAGCCAAGAAACTGAATTTTAAATTTTATTCACATTTAGTTAATTCAGCTTTAAGTTAAGCAGTCGTAAGTGGGCTAGTGTTTGAAGTAGTAGAAGGCAGAGCTCCAGGTGACTGGTTACTGTGGGCCAGCAGCACAGGCCTCCCCAGGGAGCTTGCTAGGCATGCAGACTCCCAGGTTCCACCACAGACTAATGTATCAGAACCTGCATTGTCGTAAGAGCCCCTGGCGATTCACAGGCACATTACCATCTGAGAGCACCTGACCTAGACTCCTGAGATTCTACGGTCATATCCTGGGTCCAGGAGAAACCATTCATCTCATCTTCAAGGGAGGAAATCCATACACTCCCCAAAACGTGCCCAAGGGTGACCACCGACCCCAGGACTCTTGGGAGAACGGAGCTCCCCAAAGCAGACGTCTAAAGGAGAGGCTTCAGGATGGGTAAGTGTGGAGCAACCTTTCCTAAGCCTGTTTCCGGTGGAACCTCCTGGGCTCAGCCCTTGTTCTGCAGTGGCTCCTGACAGCACCTCCCTGTTATCGACCTGTTGTGGTCGAAGGCTACCATTTCTACGACAAATGCAAGCGGCTTGGGGAACTGCATTCTGTTCAAACCTCAAGGCTCCCTGGTGTCAGGGACGCAGAGACCTGGGGAACCAACGCACTTCTCTGTGAAGACCCACAAACACGGGAAATACCATCGATGGGCTCAGCTCTGGGTAGATGCCTCGCTGCCTAGGGGGCTGTATTCTTTGTGCCAAGAAACCCTCGGCACCTCTCCCTCCCCCTGGAGAGGCAGGCAGTTCCTGACTTAGAAACTATCCCTGTAAATGGCTGCAGCCGCTTGACCCCTCCCCCACCCCCTGGCCGCCTGTGCCCGTTGCTGCTGTCATAGAAACTGGTGGAGGGGGCAGGCAAGGGAGGAGGTGACAACACAAATCTTGGGGGCGTTAAAGAATTTATGAATCTAGGAGAAAAACGACCTGTGAGCAAATGGAAAGGTTTGGGGGGCTGACTCTGGAAAGAGGATGCCTCTTGCTGGAACAGTCATATCACTTACTATCCTGCTGAAAATAGGACAAATTAAAGATTCTTTCTTGTAAACTTGTAAAATGTAACCATCTCCCAACCCCCAGAAATGGTGATATCCACCATTCACAAATCGCTGTAAGTTAATTGAAATTGTCTTTGTCCTATTTATCAGCCGAGACTAAGTTCAGTAAGATAGAGCAGGGTTTTGGCAGAGGACAGAGAAACTTGGGGGAACTTGAACGAGGGGGCGGTGTCAGGAAGGGCCGGGGTGGGGCCTAACCTGAAAGCAGCAAGAAGGGTCCTGAGAACGTGGGGGACTAGAGCAAAGTCACGCCATAAATTCCCAAGGCAACCTTCTGTTTCAAAATTTTGCTTAAAGCTACTCTTAACTCTTTTTCTTCCTTTTTCCTTCATGGTCTCTGAACTCCAGCTTCCAGGCTTAGAAAGTTGGATATTAGGAGGGAAGAAAAAGACAGTGAGTAAGACAAGGAAGAAAGGGAAGGTGGAGGATGGGGTGTCAGAGTGGGCCTGTCGGGAGGAGACGTCACACGCCCAACCAAGCGACAGGAGCTCCTCCTCCAGGACCGGAGTGTCAGGAGGTCGGGGGCCTGGTCTGGTTGTTCACTCTTTCAATTCCAAATGCTTGACATCACGCCTGTCACATAGCAGGAGCCTGGTGACTATAACTGAATATAAGAACAGATGAGAGAATTTAGGAGAAGCTTTGCCTTGAATTTGAGCAAGGAAGAGAGTGGAACTAGGAGGTGGCAGGAGTCCACTTACACAAGGAAAGTGGGGCGGACTTCACAGAGGCGAGAGGAGCCTTCATCTGCGAACCCCCCTCTCCCTCACCTTCTCCTCCTGACCAGTGCGAGTCCACCCGTCGCTTCCAACCCCAGAGGTCTCCCCTACGTCGCTTATTCCCTCTGTATTCCCAGCCCCTCTCCCTACTGGCTCTCTCTACCCAGAGTTCAAAACTATGCTCAAGAAATTGACACATTGTAACTGACTATACACCAATTTTAAAAAACAAAACACTGTTGAAAATCAAACAAAATTGAAACCGAAACTGAAAGCAAATGAACAACACTCTCCAATCCGAAACCCACCTTCTCGGGCTGTTCTCTGTTCTTTCTCAGCCAAGGTTTACACTTAATAATCCACTTTCGGGTCTCTACTTCCTCCCCTCTTGTTGAGCCCTCAGACACAGGTAAATTCACTTCTTAGCCCTCTGCTCACCCGACTGCTCTCACTCGACACTCAGCGGCCTCTTTGCTGCTCAACCCACTGGGCATGACCTCATTCCCTATCTCCTTGGCAGCCTCTGATGGTCTCTCCCAGCCCTGGCTTCTGGGACACCGCTCCTCCTGGTTTCCCTCCTACCTCCCAGGACTCTCCCTCCCAGACTCCTCTCCTCCTCTAGTGCCGGGGGACTGCCGTTTTGTCTCTTTACCCTGCTCCCTGGGCACTCACCTCCTGATGCCCAAGTCCCCGGGATTTGGTTTAGAAGCCTCTCCCACATGCTCCCTGAGCCTGGAATTCCTTCTAATAAAGCACATATCCCATCCTGTTGCTCATCACTTAACTGTCTGCCTTCCACGCTAGCCTGTAAGCTCCTCAGGCAAGAACCACGTCTGTCCTGCTCAACACCAGGGCCCCACTACTGCATACGGTGTCCAGCAGTTACAAGCAGGACTGGCTACCTAAGTTCCAGGGTCCAGTGCCAACTGAAAATGCAAGGCCTCTTGCTTAAAAATTAATGAGAATTTTACGACTGTGACAGCAGCGCACTAAGCCAAACGTGTGGGTCTCCTGAGTGGGGGGTCCTGTGTGACAGTACAGGCCCTACCCTCGTGAAGCTGGCCCTGCCTGCATGCCCTTAATATTTACTGAATGAATCAATGGCTTCGACAACAACATATGCTGATGATTCCAAATATGCTCTCCAGCCCACACATCCCTGCTGCGCTCCAGCCGGGAGCAGCCGACTGCCAACGGATATGCGCTGGGATACTCGCTGGCATCTCAGACTCAACATGCTTCAAACTTAATGATGCTACCCCCACCACACCCCCAAATCTGCCCTTCCAGTATTTTCTGTCTCAGGGAACAGCGTTCCTTTCCACACAGGGCTCATTTCAGACGCCATCTCAGCCTTCTCACCTTTCTCACCCTACACACATCCACGCAGGCAGCGGGTCCTGGGGCTGGCGCCCGCTCCACAGCATGCAAATCTGTCCCTGTCCTTGGTTCCTTCTGTTGGTGCCTGGGTTCAGGTCCCCTCCGGGGCTCATCTGCCTGCCTCAGGAGCTCTCCTCTGCTCTCCCTGCTCCCAGGTCTGCCCTCCTCTGACCCCGGCACCACAGGGTCACCAAGGTGACTTGAAAGTACTACTCTCATCACGTCATATCCCCTACCTCAAACCAGGGGTGCTGTCCCAGCCTTCCAATATTTCCTTCATCATCTGGGTTTTGTCTATATTTCCATTTTTAGGGGTGAAGTGGGCTGTTTATTAGGTTTCTTTATTTATTTTTAGAGGAGGCACTGGGGATTGAACCCACAGCCTCACGCATGCTAAGCACACACTCTACCACTGAGCTGTGCACACTCCTCCACCCTGGGTTCTACCTGTATTTCTGGTCCGAGCGTCACGCTAGCTATTCCTTTCGCCCTACCTCTCCCTTCTTCTGGCCAACCTAACCCCTTCTCCAAGTCAGCCCAGGAGAATGCCCTCCCGGTCGACCTTCGACGCCCCTTCTCTGAGAACCCAGAGTGTCACATGCTCGGTGTACCCCAGCCCGTCCCAGTCGTCACGGCGACAGCCGGCCTCTGCGGCCTGTCTCTAACCACCTGGCGACGTTTTCCAGGCAGAGTCTAAGCCGTGGTCTCTGAATCTCCAGCACTCAGTGCCTGGCCCGTGACAGACACGCAGTAACTACTTGCTGAGGGTTAAGTGACTAAATACATGAAGAGTAAGCTGGACTTGGATGGGCTAAGAGAGGCTCCCGGAAGAGAAGACCCTAAAGAAGACTTTTCTTAATACCAAGATCTGTAACTGTCTGTCTACAGTCTGAGCCCTCAAAAATCCGTATGTGTTTTCATTGGTTTTACAAATGGGCCTAAAAGGATGTTGTTCTGGCTGCAGGACCACTGAAGAGTGACTTGAAAGATAAAGGGAAACTAGGCAGGGCCCTGTCCTTAGCGGGAGCGGGGAGAATACAGCCACCACTAGGGTTACTGGTTTTCAATTCCAAATTCACACACACAGTAAGGTATCAGCATTCAGTTCTGATATTTACTACTAGGGTAACCCTACCTAACTACTTTCATAAACAGATCATTGTGTCTGAATCCATCTATGTACAGGACAGTCTTCACTTGGTCTGAACTGCCAAGTTCCTCCTTTATGAGACGTCCGTGGAGTAAAGATGGCAGCATGCTTGGCAGCCAAGTCTTCCAGTCCCTACATCACGATGTCTCTTCCTACGTGATTCCAGCTTCCTTTCGATCTCTCATCCCTCTGATCCTGGGATC